AATTAACTGTATTACGATGTTATTATGAATTGTTTGCTAAATCTTTTTATTGTCAAAAATAATTTTGTTTCTAGCACTGTGTAAACTGTGTACGTGTCTTTATTTCAAAAAAACAAATAAAATATGTTTTTCTTTTCTAGTAAATCTATAGATACTTATGATGTTTTTTTTTACAAAAAAGGATGTTTTGTAAAATACATTTTAAAATAGATTATATTGGTCTTTAAAAGGTTTAAAAATAAAACGTTCTTCGTAACTGTTTCATAAATCTGCATAAAATGAAGTAACATAAACCAATAAAAACGTATCAATTCTAAGATAGAAAAAGTGGATATTTGCTCAGAAATAGGTTTAAACGTTGTGTACCTCTGTGTATCGGCGATGCCCTAGATATTTAAGTTCACTATAACATTAAGTCTGCACTCTGCAGTCCATTTACGAAAAGATTAAAAAGGATGAAATGATATCAAAAATTTTTTTTCTCTAAATATTTTCCTTTTCATGTGAAACATGTTTACAGTTTTTTAACCACTTAATTAGTCATTATTAGGCATTATTTACTATAATCAATATATACGTCTCATTGATAAATTGATAAATTGATAAATACCCCTCATACCCCTCGAAAAATTTGTTAAAAATCTTTTATTCAAACTTAAAACACAAGTTTTAAAAAAGCTTCAGTAATTGCCAGGCCTATTTTGATGTATTGCGCATGCTCATTACTGCATGGCAGAGGCTTGGTCTGCCTCGCAGATCTGGGAGACTCATGTCTGCAAAGCGGAGGCTCATGGCGTCTGTGGGTTCCCTTCCTTGGCCTAATCATACAGTACAAACATAAAATATGCAGTACGCTTTCGGAGTACAAGTGTATGGCGAGGATTTGTGTCTGAAGCAGAGCAGATAAGAGACTTACAGAGATCGATTTTCAGCTAAAATAAAATTCCAGAAAACCTGCAGAAAATCTTTGTGAATAATGAGAAACTAGAATAATTAGAAAATAGAAACTGATAATTGAACAAGATTACTTATTTTCGATTATGAGATTAATTTTGTTTTCTCAACCTGTTCCTAAACAACTAATAAGTTTACTGTAGAATTTTGTATACATTTTTTGTCGTCATTATTTAATAATTAAAAAAACAATTCTGAAAACATATCCACCCAAAAGTACGATTTTTAACGTCGTATTTGCGCTCAAACTCAGGATTTACAGATCTTTAACAAATTTTACATGTCTCAAATGAATCCTAAAGAATTTGTCCACAACACTGCATACTCAGTTCAACTACCTTAAATAGCCGGTCAGTCCCTTTAAGTGACAAAAAAAAACAATTTTGAAAAATCTCCTCTAAGTACTTTAATATACAGATTGACCATTGGAAGTGGAGTACATAGCCTGTACCAAATAGATTATCAAGTATAATAGGTGGCAACAGAGAAATCAACCAATCACAAGTGTCAAATATAAGAAGGAAAACAAAATTGTCTCACATTAGTTGACATGTTTTCCAAGATTAAATAAAAAGTGTAAAAACAGAAACTAAAGAACATATAAAATTGCACTTATTTTACTGTAAGATAAGCACTTTATTCTAAAATTATCACTATTATTGATAATTTTGTCGGACACGAAAACTGAATTGACACTTGTGACGTCAGAATACAACTGTATAAATTCTACGTTGCCATCTATTGTACTAGAATCAATTTGGTCTGTACAATACACTATAACTGTCTGTACAATACACTATAACCTCGTTGATATAATCTAATTTCAAGTGGTCGGTTTTTATCTTAAATATCACAAAATTTGTTTCATAAAAATTAAATGAAAAAGGAAACATCCGACTAAAATAAGATTTCACTGATCGAATCAATTATAATTTAGTCTACATCTCTCTTAATTTTTTTGTGAAGACTTCTTTCGAAATGAAGAAAATATCATTAATAATATAGTATTTATCAAACCAAACTAAGTTATCTAAAGATTAACAAATAGATGTATTATAGAGAGGAGTAGGAGTAGGGTGCCCTGAACGAATCAGGGAAATCTTTAAAATTAAACTTGAAGTGAACAAGTTAGAAACTAGCCCATATTTGGACAAATACATAACCTCAAAAACTAAGTAATAAAAATTGGAAACTACAGATTATATTGTGAACATTTACTGTCAATAATCTTTTTTGTTTGTTTATCTTCTTGTGTTTTTTTACATTTTTTAATCATTTATTTTTTTTTCGTTTTTTATGGTTATTATATCGTTAGAACTGACGAGGGTCAACCCAGACCGAAATATATTTTCAATAAATGTGGAACTAACATCTACTTTTTTACTCTACAGAGGTTTGGTCCATCACCATCACCGAATTTTAGTTTTTGCGTAACAACAATAACAAAGGCAGCCGATCATAATGTAAACAAACATGAGTTAGTAAACTGTGAAAGTAGTATTATCTTGTTAAAAAAGATTGAAAAAGTTAAGGATTTTAGTTTTATACGAAAAGGATTACAGAGACATTTTTAATGAAATTCAAGGTTATTCTGCCCCCCCCCCCCCAGATGTTTGTTTATCCTTTGTGTTATTGTTTACAATCTTAATTATTGTTGTTACGCAAAAACTAGTTCTTCAGCAGTCAGCAGTCCAAAAACGTCACAGCAAAGTGTACGCAATCCTTATCGCCCCCTCCTATTCAACATCTCCTTGGGATCTAGCAGTGGCACTGGTGTATATAAGGGGGCTATTGGCGTTATTTACCCCCCCCCCCCCCCCCCTGGGGCTGCCAATAAAGCCTCGGGAAATAAAATCACAGGAAATAAAGCCCTGAAGAAAAAAGTCCTAAGTCTTGGGAAAAGGAGGTCACACATTTTCATTGAAACAACTTGCATCTGCATATTTAATATAACCAGGGGCGTTTTTAATTTCAAATCCCTTATTTCCATGGTTATAAACATCCCTTGTTCCCATATATTTTCCACTATTTCAGAGGACTTTATTGTATAAAATCATACTGGAGCCAGAAAAAAAGTTCTAGAAAATTAAGTCTCGTGGAACGACGCTTTAAAAGTCCAAAGCCCTGAAAAGTCTGAACCAAATTCATCCCATAATTAGAACTGCTCAATATTGTCTTTAAAAAATACTCAATTTTGTTCTTTTTCTTTTTTTCTTTTTCATTTCAACTACAATATTAATGATTATTAAAGGGACAGACCGGCTATATAAGGTAAATTCTTTAGGATTCATAAGGATAAGATATCGTAAGTTTCATATCTGGAAAAATGTTTAAATCAGTTTTGTAGAAAATCGAAAATCAGAAATGAAAAATTTTCAAATAGAAAAACAAGGATTTATTTTTAACCTTTATGGATAAAATGTGTACTAAAATTAAATATTTTCATGATTAGTTACATTTCTGCATGAAAAATGAAAAATTTAAAAATTCAAATCTGTGATTGAGTTTGATTTAACATTGTTCATTCTGGATTGAAGGAACCATAGGAGAGCAAGAATTCTTTATAAATCTTATATTTCAATGATTTATTTCTCAAAACTAACAGATTCCGGGGATATTCAATTTGGAATCCTAAGAAAATTACAGGAATGGAAGGAAGAATAAAGATTTTAAATGAGAAAGATGGAAGGGAAGGGGGAGAAAGAAGAAATATGGAAGGGAAGGGTGAGAAAGAGAAATATGGAAGGGAAGGGGGAAAAGGAAGAAATATCTAAGGGAAGGGGGAAAAGGAAGAAAGATGGAAGGGAAGTTGGAGAAGGAAGAAAAATGGAAGGGATTGGGGAGAAGGAAGAAAGATGGAAGGGAAGGGGGAGAAGGAAAAATATGGAAGGGAAGGGGAAGAAGGAAGAAATATGGAAGGGAATGGGAGCAGTATGAAATATGGAAGGGATGGGGCAGAAGGAAGAAAGATGGAAGGGAAGGGGGGAAGAATGATTGAGGGGAAGTGGGGCAGGATATTGTGGAAAGGTGGGAAGGAAGATTCTGAGGAAGAGAGAGGTGGGCCGGGGGGAAGTTAAGGGGGGGGGGAGAAGAGAAATACTGTAGCTGTGAATCCAGCAACATTTTAGTCATGAATATTCAAATTTTATTCTAGAAATTGTATATTTGGCTGTTTTAAAGCCATATATCTGCAACGAGAACATACAAAAGTTTTGCTAATTTTCATTATTCATAATTTTACACATTAAATAAACAAAACTCAAAACAAAAACAAATTAGGGCAGTTTTAAATTTTGTTACTTTTATTATAAATAAGAACTTTTTGAATACATTTATTTTAAAAATAAAAATACAATTTGAATATTTCTTTCATGGTAACACAAAATATATATATTCTAGAACCAACAAATAGTTATGCCAACCCTCTTTACAATTATATGTAGATGTACTTCATATTTACAGAGGATTTTTACTTTTTTACATTGTATTAAGAAAACTTAAGGAACAAATTAACAATTTAAAATGAGATTTTTTTTTCAGAAAAACTTAAGAATAACCTTTAAATCAGACTTAATTCTAAAATTCTAAAAAACTTTCCAAGAAAAAAATCGATAAATTTATACAATAAAAAATGTTCATATCTTAAAATTCACGTTCATCTCAATTTTAGCCTCCCCCCCCCCTCCCCCAGATCTTATTGTATAACCAATCCCCTCTATGCAATAGACATCTCCCTTAACTGCGAGGGAGGGAAGGCAATTACTTGAACTAACTAGCGTTCTTTTAAAACCCCCCCTTCTCTTCAAAACCACTCCTGTATCCCCCCTTTCCTTGACTTACTTCTTTATACAGGCCTTCCCCTAAACAAACTCCGTTACCCCTTCCTTCAACCCACTCTCCAGTACGAGGAAGGGAAGGCAACTACATGAACTAACCAAACGTTCATCTAAGTTCCGAAACCCTTCTTAGACATAACCTTGCATCTTTCCCCTCAATTCTGTATTCCATCATCCCTCACTTAGACCTAATTCTTTACCCCNACCCCATAGCTAGGCCTAAACCTACACCCCCCTCCACTAAGAGGGAGTGAAGGCAACTACTTGAAGTAACTAAACGTACTCCTCTATACCGTCTCCCTCCTCAATAGCAGATGTAGAATCCAGAAGTGATGCCTCGGCTGTATATGAAGGATATGGCCTGGAAGCTGTCCTAAAAAAATTAAAAAATGTTAACTCAGCCTTTTTAAAATTCATTAAGATATAGAGGATAGTACCTCCCTTTATTCACATAATTTAAACTCCATTATTTTTCAAATCTCCTTTTCACATTTTTAAAGAATAAAAAATAAAAAAATAAAAGGTATTGCCGACTAAAATAAGAAATATAAATCATCATTGAAATCCCATGGAATAACGGGTTAATAATGACTAGGAGATCAAAGCTTTGGAATATTATTCTGTCGGCTCTCCCCTTCCCCCTGTTAGGGGTTTAATTAATTAAATGAACATAGCTACCACTTTCCTTCAATTTTATTATTTATATCCCATTTAACTTTTCAAAATTTAACCTTGAATATCGAATTCAGTTCAAATGGCTGAGCGCTTTTCAAATTCCATAAGTTTAGACCTCTGATCAACTAATTGATTTATTTTCCAATTAATTTAAAATTGTTAACTGCATTTTTGTTTTGTAAGTTTAATTAATCTGAAAACTGGATTTCTCTTTAAATTCTGAAATCAAATATTCTAATTTTCTAAAAAGTTCTCATAAAAATATTCTTTATTTTAATTTTCTAAAAAGTTCTCAGAAAAATATTCTTTATTTTGTGTTTTAATTTTTGAAAATGTTAAAATGTTCGTAAAAGATTGAAATTAAAAATTTTAGAATGTTTTGTACTTAACTTTTTCACAAAGCAGTGATCAAATTAATTAAAAAATTAATTAATGTTTAAGATTAAAATTCAAACTTGGCTTTTTTGTCTAATAATGTGATCAATCTATTTGAACTTAAAATTAAACATTTAATAAATAGAATTTGATTCAACTTCAAAGAAAAAGTTCTGCTAAGAGGTTTTCTTCTTTTATAGTTGACTAGGCACAAGATAGTAATACATTCATTTTTTCATTCATTTCTTTATTCTTTTATTTAATTCAATCATGTATTCATTCATTTATTCGTTAAAGCTTTTATTTGATTCATTTATTTATTCATTCGTCCTTTTATTCAATACATTCTTTGATTCATTTATCATATTATTTGATTCTTTCATTAATTAATCTATTCTATACTTTTATTCAATATATTCATTTATTCAATTCCTTCTTTACTTCCATACAGTACAGTACAGTACAGTACAGTACAGTCAATACAGCACAGTACTTTACGGTAAAGTACAGTACAGTACAGTACAGCACAGTACAGTTAAGTACAGTAAAGTACAGTACAGTACAGTACAGTACAGTACAGTACAGTACAGTACAGTACAGTACAGTACAGTACAGTACAGTACAGTACAGTACAGAGTATTATAATAAAGTGTACCTGCAATGAAGAGAAGCTGTAACGGCAACAACAATACAAATCAAGGAAACCAAACATAGGACAGACAACAGGAAGTAGTCAGCTGTAAAAAATATCTTTATTATCAGCTGTTAAAACTTGACGTTAGAAATATGGCCTAAAGGTCGTCTTAGATCTTTGTAATTATTTGCGGCATTCGTTTGTCAACCTACTTTTCCAAGCATGCATGAAAGGCAGAGGGGTAGATCACATCTCGGAATTGCCAAGATTATTTTGTTATTATTAACTCTAAAATTAGGTTTACGAATAAAAAACACCAATTAGTTTAAGTACTAAAGACGACCTTAAAGTAGTATTACTACTGTCAGTTTCGGGGGACACCCTGTATGAAAGAAAATCAGAGTAGAATATATATATATGGTAACTTTAAGGTGTTGTATATAAAAAATTTGTAATATATATTAATAACTCATGCTAATGATGAGAATATAATTTGTTAATAGGTGAAATATTCTGTGCATACAGTACATGTACATTGTACAGGCCCAGGGGGATATATTAGTATGCAGCATGCATATTTTATACTTCAGTTTTCATCAAAATTAAAATTTAGAAATCGTCTTTTTTCATGAAACAAAATAGCGCACGAAAAAAAGACATTAAAATGATTTTACTTATTATAGGTTTTACATATTTTTATCTAGCGCCATATTTTATAGGAAAACTTGAAGGTTTTTTTATCTACCACATACTTGTATTAAAATTTTTACCCATTGAACAATAAAAACCTTGATTGTCGAAATAAATGCGGTAAAATCCAGAAAATTTCTTTAGATCCGAGTAAATTGAATTTTTATTCAATTTTATTTCACTAACCTAGCTTTCAAACTATTTATGGAAGATTTTCATTTTCAAACCTATTTTTCAAGTTCACCACATTCTAACCATTTTTAATAATGACAAATTCACATTTAATACATCACGTGTACTTTAAAATATTATAAGAAATTGTGTGTGATTTTTTCACAAACTTTATTTAAATTTATTAAGATTAAAATCCAGAATAAAAAAATTAAAGGGTATATGAAAATATTGATCGTAATCTGCATTGGAGGAGTAATTTAAGAAAACGTTATTTAATAAAACAAAAACATCATTTTATCTTATTTTCTTTAAAAATGTTGTTGAGCCTTAATGTACTGTTAAATATTTTACCAGGTTTTGCAAACTATTGAATAATTCAATTTCATCTATTATTTACTGCTAAAACTAAACACATACAATGATACATTGTACGGGAAATTGTTGCGTTATTGTTGTAAATTTTCAAAAACATTAAATCCTTTTTTTCGCCCAAAGAAATTGAGTCTTTGCCACAAACTGTAATTTTTGAAACCTGCTGTCTGCTCTAGATATTTCAAACTATGAATTCTGTTAGATCAAATCTAAGTTTTAAATATCAAAAGTTTACATCTCCACAAGGTTGCAATGATATGACGATAAGATGGTAGGTGACCAGTCCTATTTAAATGGAAGGTGTACAGTCCTATTCAGATAGAAAAGGGTGTCTAGTCCTATTCAGATGGAAGGTGACCAGTCCTATTCAGATGGAAGGTGTCCAGTCCTATTCAGATAGGAGGTGTACAGTCCTATTCAGATGGAAGGTGTACAGTCCTATTCAGATGGAAGGTGTACAGTCCTATTCAGATGGAAGGTGTACAGTCCTATTCAGATGGAAGGTTTGAGAACTAACAGTTGGGTCGCATATAGTGTCTTCTTTTAGAAAACTTGGACTAAACTTTACCTACTGGAATTAATTCAACAATGTTTTCGTTTTAGAAATTAAATACATTTAGGAGAAGGATATTGATAAGAGGAGGAGAGGGGGGGGGGCAATAAAATAGTTAATGTCTAGTCTTATTTTTGAATAATTTTTTAAATATTTTCCTAACCCAGCCCCACCTATCCCAACCCCAGCCTAACCTACCAACCCAACCTACCCCAACCTAACCCAACCTACCTCGACCTACCCCAGCCTACCCAACCTACATCGACCTATTTTAACATACCCCCAACCTACCGTAACCTACCCCAACTCAACCCAACCTACCCCAACCTAACTCAACCTAACCCAACCTAACCCAACCAACCCCAGCCTAACCCAACCTACCCCAGGAAATTCGATACGGAGCCATCATACCTGTTCCCAAACTGCTCCAAATCCCCTAGAACTATCCTAATTTACTACCAAATCTACCTCAAATTATCCCAAAATGTATCCCCAACCTACCTACTACGACTGCCTGTGTTGGGAACATTTTTGTTTCAATTTTTGTTGCTTTTTCAAAACATTCAAGTTTTCATCTGAAAATATTTAATATTCTGGTTATTTCACAACAAAGCATATTTGAAGGAAGATATTTTTATCAAAATTCTTTGATGCATTCAACCTTCTACATACAAGGAATGTGCCGCAGGACAGCAAAGGTAAAAAAGTTTTAAAATTGCAATAAATACAAGTTATTAAAGGGACTGTAAGCGTGATTAAGATGAACCTCCACGGAATTGACAAAGGAACCCTTGATATGATAAAGGTTTCAAAGGTACGGTAGTGAATCGGATATTCACATCTTTGAACGGAGGCTTTAATCTAGAAAAAATATGTCTTAAAAAGATTTTAGAAAATGTATTTTTATTTGAATTCAAGATTTAAAGTTATAAATACCAAACTTTTAAAATTAAAAGTTAAAATTAATCTTATTTTTAAACTTTAGGCCCATGTAGATATTTTGCATTTTAAGATTAAGCTAAAATTGCTATGAAAACTGAGCTGAAAACTTTAGAATTTTGGATATAGAGATCAATGCTTGATCTCCTCTTTTCCTAAATATCCAGATTAAATATTTCTGTTGTCCTCTTGATATTAATCTCCAGATTAATTGAAATTAAGGATATCCCATTTTAAAGTTTTCTGCTCTGTTATGTAGATGAAAATATAATTTTCTAGCTAGAATGAAAACAGTGAATTTTGAATATTTTTTTTTCAGTTAGGTTAGGTAGTTTAGGGTCTAGATTTTAAGATAATAAATTTTTCTTCAGAATTAGGTACACGACATTATGTAAATTTAAGACGCAAAATTGATAATAAATTAATTAAATCCCCCTCCCCTCTGAACAAAATACCCCTTTTGCACTTTGGAAATGTAGAACTGATCTCATGAGTAAATTCACCAGTATATCTAACAGGTTTAAAACCCATTTCACCCTCTCTTAACCTTTTCCAATCACCGTAAAAATTGTAAAAGTAATGTGTTGAGATAAAACAATCCTTTCCCCAGCCTTCCCTGAAAAAAAAACTATAAAAGACAATTTGTGAGAAAAAAAGCAAGAAAGAATTCAATGAAATAATTCCTAGCAATCCAAACTGTTTAACTTTTTACAGCAACAAATAAAAATAGTTTAAAATAACAAATTTTTTATTCAATTTTGAGGAAATTTATCAAGCTGAAAATTTGGTTTGGCTGTCTCCGACAGGAGATTCAAGTTGAAGACGACATTTTATAGAGGTTTTAAAATTAATGGTTAACAACGGTATATATATTAGGTCTTTGGGGAAATCGCTAAGTAGCGAAACAGAGGTTAAGATTAAGAACTTTATCACCCTACAACGGGGTGATAAATTATTTATAATTGTAATGAGCATCATGCGCGCAAAAAGTTTTTGTTGTAATTTTGAATTTTTCAAGTTTGTTTAAGATCAAAATAAAAGTATTTTCACACCTTAAAACGTTAACGGTGTGAAAATACTTTCATTTTCATCTTAAACAAACTTAAAAAAAACACTCATGAAACACTGTAATTTTAAAGCCAATGAAAAAAACATAGCTTTTAAATTGATAAGAAATATTGCAAAAACACTAAATATGCTTTTATTAAAGTCAAGGCTGAATTTTTAACATTGCTCAATTATTCATTGCAACTAGGCAATGAAGAAAGCTAGAAAATGTGGAATCTCTGATAAATATCTATATTTTTGGAACGTTCTTATCAGTTAAGAATTTGGATGATACACAGGGGTAACCAAACAGTATGAACTTTTGAAGACGACATGTAATTCTTCTCAAGATTAAATTTTGCCCTCCGTTTTTTTTCAGGATAGACTAATTGATATGACAAAAAAGTATCAATATATAGATGATGTAATAAAACTATTAATTAAAGAAAAATGACTAGACGTTGAATTTCGTGCATGTCGTCTATAAGTCAGATACTTTGATAGTAACACCTTTTTATCAAAATGAATGAGGTCTCCAAGAATCAACCCTCTAACTCTGAACTTTATTTTTCACGCGACTTCTCCTAAATCAATGGCAGATTATTTGGCTTTTGACTTTACATTGATGATACAAGTCTGCTTTCTAATAACATATTTTTTGACTAATAAAAATAAAAAATAAATAAATAAATAAATAAAAATATTTTTTGACTAAAGTTTTTACTTGTGTTGACATGTCTGTGAATTTAGCTTAAGCTTACCTTAATTAGCGCGATCATGTCAATCAAAGCAAAAAACTTTTTGGCTCATTTTAAAGGTCGTTCGTTTTATGTAAAACAAATATTTTTTAAACACAACGTTTTTGTTTATTGGTCATCGGTTTGTTTTGTTACAATTGTTAAAAACTGTTTTCTTTTTTCATGCATTTAAATTTCGTTGCTTCACTAAAAACATGCCAGGGCCCTTATTTTAAAAACAGGTTTTGAAATAACTTCAATATCTTCTTTGATCAAGTCAAAAGTTATTTTATTTATTTTCTTTTGGAAAGAAAGTGTAGTGAGGAGGAAAATTTGATGAAATCCCGTTTGGAAAATAGAAGATTTGGGATTGGCGGATGGGGTGGAGGTGGTGTAAAATAGAATATAGGAAATAATAGTTACAAATTTTAAGGAACTGAAGAATTAATTTTAAGTGACGTTATTTTAATATGTCTGACTCAGAACGGTGCCCTGAACAGTACCCTGAATGGTACCCTGAACAGTACCCTGAACGGTACCCTGAACGGTACCCTGAACGGTACCCTGAACGGTACCCTGAACGGTACCCTGAACGGTACCCTGAACGGTACCCTGAACAGTACCCTGAACGGTACCCTGAACAGTACCCTGAACGGTACCCTGAACGGTACCCTGAACGGTACCTTGAACGGTACCCTGAACGGTACCTTGAACGGTACCTTGAACGGTACCCTGAACGGTACCTTGAACGGTACCTTGAACGGTACCCTGAAAAAGTTTGTCTGATTTTTTATTTCTACCTCAGAATTGTCAGATTTAAGCAAACTAAAAAAACAAAGATATTTTCCAAATTAGATATAGATTTCAAGGGTACCTTGTTCAATCTAACATGCCCCATTTTAAATAAAAGGTAACCTTAAAGGCAGTGACCGGCTATGTAAGGTATAGTTGAACTGAGGACGCAGTATTGTGGAAAACTTCTTTCGGATTCATTTGAGACATATAAAACTTTTTAAAAGTCTGTAAATCCTGAGTTTGAGCACAAATTCTACGTTCAAAACTCCTGATTTGGGGGTGGATACGCTTTCAGAATTAGTTTTTTAAAATTATTATTTAACGACGACATAAAATGTAAAAATATTCTACAATAAACTATAGACGTCATGTTTAGGAACATTTTGAGAAAATAAAAATTAATCTTATCATCGAAAATAAGTAATCTTGTTCAATTATTAGTTTCTATTATCTCATTATTCTAGTTTCTCGTTATTCACAAAGATGTTCGAAGATTTTCTATAATTATTATTAAAAGACGACATTTAAAGAATTTGAAGAAATCTGCGAATAAATTCAAATAAAATTAGAAATTCAATATAATAATGAAAACGAAATAATCGATTTTAGCATTGATTTATTGACAAATTTCTTTTGTGAAATATATTCCTAGCCATCTAATTAGATCACTGTATAATTTTTACTTTATTTTTCGTTGTCATTATTTAATAATTTAAAAAAAAACTAATTCTGAAAGCGTATCCACCCCCAAATCAGGTGTTTTGAACGTCGAATTTGCGCTCAAACTCAGGATTTACAGATCTTTAAAAAGTGAAATATGTCTCAAATGAATCCTAAAGAAGTTTTCCACAACACTGCGTCCTAAGTTCAACTACCTTACATAGCCGGTCACTCCCTTTAAATCATACGGCAGTCCTTTTCATGATTTAATCTTGCCAATCATTTTTCTTGTAGAGTTTTTTTTCCTGATCTTAAAAAATAAATTGATATAGGGGAAACCGTAAAAATGTGTTTTTTTTTTGTGAGTTTTCATAGTCACCTTCAAATATATAAATCATTTTCTGTTTTGTTCTCAGAATCTGATTTTTTTTTGGTTGATCTTCAAATATTTTAGCGTTTTATTTTGATAAAGTGTTTAGTAAATAAAACTTACTTTATGTTTTGAATTATCATAGAAAAAAGAAAACTATCTTAAATGATTTTTGATTAGTTTTTCTTCAATATGATTTTGTAATAGAAAGAATATTTAATAATCTAGACTCTAACGACAATTAATCTAAGATTCAAGGCATCGCCAGCAGGCCAGAGTTCTTGTTTCTTGTATAAAATACATATTTTAAGAATGTTCACAGACATAACCCGTTTTCAGTCGGATTTTAGAACTTCAACGCAACATTACTACCACTAAAAATCTTCTCTTTAAAAAAATCCCTGAAGAGGCCGCCGAGCCTTATTTGACTTGAATAGGAGGTTTATGGTGTAAACTCAATTATCCTGAACCCCCCCCCCCCCATTAATACCCCACCGTGGAAGAGGGGGGGGGGGGCACCAAATCATTACTGAAAGAAAGAATGATTTTGATCAAACTCTATAAATTCTAATTTGTTGAAAGATGTTCTTCAATCCAGAAAGTTTTACAAGAATTCAAGAGTACATTTGTGCTCCTGGCAATAGATTAATATAAACTAATCTTAAAATTTATCTTCTAATAAATAAATATTTCTTTTTCGAAACATTTTTTAATCTAAGTTTTAAATTAAACAATAAAAGTTTTTGCATTTTGATCTTAAGCTATATGGTTTGGCTTGAAAGTAGAAAATACTAAATAACATTTTTTTGTTTGTTTGTTTATTAGGGCCACGGGGGTCATCTCTTTTTTAAACTTTTCTTTTTCAACGTTCTAAAAATTATTAAAAGAACATTTTTATTATGTTCATTGAAAACAATAACATAGTAATCTTTACATTTCCAGTCTAAGAAAGAAATTGAGTGTTTGCCACAAACTCTGATTTTCGAATCTATGGCGACCATATGTCGTAGAGCTTTGATTTAATTTAAACTAAAAATTCTGTTCGATAAAA